GGTCCCTAAGTCTTTTTTTTCTTTAGATGAAAGGATATCTACAGAAGTGTATGCTTGTGAGACTTAAGGATATCCTTACGAGCTTGACATGGCTGATAAAAGTGCCATATAAAGGCAGTTAATATGCTCACACTCCTCTTTTGGTGCCTTGTGATAACGATTGCTTACTTCAAAATAGCACCTCTGCATTTTTTTATGCTCACTGTGAAAGAATATAACTGTTATCAAATCAAGAGGAAATAATGTGGATATCTTTGTTTTCAAATGTTTATGACATTATTCATGGTAAATATCCAATGACATTTCAGTGATGTTCTTTTCTGTGCAATCACTGAAAGAATTTAAGGGTAGGGAAGGGAAGCAGCATATATACCCCATCCACAGAACTCATAAGAAATGTTTCCTTTCTGGAAGTGATTTTATTACAAATCACTTTTGTAATATCTGACCTTTTGTTCTGTAATAAAACACAAGAGGAAATTGTCACCGTTATTTTATACAGTTTATTATGTTATTATCTATCAGGACTGCTTGTGTGAGGTGGTTTTGTGCTTTTCTAGGCATATATCAGTTTTTCCTAAGCAGTGTTGGGTTTTTTTGCCAAGTCTAGCTACCCGTGTTCTGGTTGTTAAGGTGATGAATGAACTGAAAATATCTCAGTACATCCAACATGTATAAAAATACCAATATTCATAATCTCTTTTTGCTTCTGATGTGAAGGGGGAACTTCCATTAGTAGTGGTGGACATGAGGTGACAATCTGTGTGTACTTTCACTTTATGTTAAGAGTTCTGAATATTGCTCTAACTTGGCTAATAAAGGATTTTGGCAGGAAAGAGATGGACAAGCTTATGGGAATTGAACTGTAAGGCTTCTAAGAAATGTGACCCCATTTTCCTCTGTGAGATTGCTTTTGGCAGTCGCTGAGCATTAATTGTTGACCAATTATTGTGTCTAAACCTTAATAATAATAGGGGAGCACTGGTTAAAATTTTTGACATTTGGGAAAGATTATTTCTTATTTGCAGCTACTTTATTCTAGCATATTTGACACTGAGAAGTGCAAAGTGTATTGCATTGTATTGTATTTCAGAAATATTGTGAGTAGTTGTGTAGTTTGCACATGGAATAACAATAATGAATTAGATTAAGACATCTGTTCTTCTGGGATAAGCTTTGATTTATTAAATCTAAATCATGTGGGTTGTGCTCTGATAATTGTTACAACTGACTTGACAACCTTAGCCCGGTTCAAGAAGCATTTATATGTTACTTAAGGATATTTGTCAGTATTGTGGGACTCTACCTCAAAAAAACTGGACTAGATATTTTGGCCAAATTTCCTGAATTAGAATTTGAGAGTCCAGATACCCTTATATATTCTGCATTACAAACATCTGATTTCTTCTTCCATTATACAGTAGTGGTAGTTTAAGGTTGTTTATAGCCTCTTGGGCATTAATTTAAAAGTGAAAATACATTTCTGTATTCAGATAGTCTGAAACTCTTGGGATTTTCAGACTGCCCTTACATTTTCACTCTTATTCAGACAATTCTAAGAAAATGATTTTTAAAAGATTGTTGCAGACTAATAGGCAATGGAGCCCTGGAGGATTTGGAGCACAGGTCCTATGGGGAGTGGCACAGGGTCCAATTTTGAGGGTCCAATTGATGCTTGGCTGAACATGGGCCAGCAGTGTGCCCAGGTGGCCACGAAGGCCAATGGCATCCTGGCTTGTATCAGAAATAGTGTTGCCAGCAGGAGCAGATGATTATCCCTCTATACTCAAGAGTGCTGTGTTCAATTTTGGGCCCTTCTCTACAAGGAAGACAGTGAGGACCTGCACTGTGTCCAGAAAAAAGCAATGGAGCTCTGAGGGATCTGGAGCACAAGTCCTATGGGGAGTAGTTGAGGGAGCTGGAATTGTTTATTCTGGTGGAGACTCAAGGAAGACCTTATCACTCTCTGCAGCTACCTGAAGGGAGGTACCAGAGGGAATGGAATGGCTTCAACTTGCAACAGGGGAGATTCGGATTAGATATTAGGAAAAACTTCTCAGGAAGAGTGGTCAGGCATTGGAACAGGCAGACCAGGAAGTCACTGTCTCTGGAGGTGTTCAAGATAGGCTTAGATGTTGTATTAAAGCATAGAGGGGAAATCTTGGCAGCAGGTGGATGGTTGGACTAGGTGATCTTGGAAGTCTTTTCTGACCTTGATTCTATGAAATGCATTTCTTGAAGTTAAACTGAAAATGCCTTCAATTTGTGTACCGACTCTGAGACATACAAGGAAGTGCTGGCTGAGGTTCTTTTTTTGTGGCTGAGCTCTGTATGAGGACTAGAATTCTGGATCAAAGAAGCTTGTAATAGTACACGCTGACTGAATTCAGCAAAAATAATCCTTTATCTTCAGTGATGCAGTTAACATACAAAGTACACTATTTACCTGTCTCATATCCTTTTTCATTTCTCAGTACTTTGGTCTAACAGACCTGCCAGTAGCATGTTGCTTTCGGGGTCAGTCCTACCTCTCATGTTACTTCTATTCTTTCGACCCATTTCTTTGATAACTTTAGAAGATTAAATGAACTACTTTCACTACCTGTTCTGCAGAGTCCTACCTATGGTTGTGTACTGTGCTGTTCATTAGGTAAAGGAAATTGAATCCCTAACACAGTTACTCTAACACAGCATGGGGATTAATCTTCCCTCGCACTTAGGTACTGGGACATTCACTAAGTCTAACAAACTTAACGAGATGGTAAGTGTAACTGACAGCGAGAGAGGAACTTATTTGTTTGCTTGTGAGGTATTGACTTTCTTACTCTTGGAGGTCACTTGAATGTCTTTTAAGAATTACTGAAATGTTTATTGATTTCAGGGTTTAATTATTATGCCTACTCCACATCTGCTCCTTCGGTCTCTTTTCTAGTAACAGATAACAGACTGTGTAGTTTCTACTAAAAGTTAACTCAGCTCTGTTAATAAATTAATGTATAAAGATAGCACTCATTAAGAGAGAGACAAGAATACAAATATTGAGGAAGATGGGGATTTATTTAGTGTGGAAGGAAAGCACTAGGACTGCCAGTGAAGCCGCCTTTCCTGGTACGTGGATGGCTTATGTGGGCTGAGTATGGGACTGTTCCAATAGCAAAGCCCAATTTCCACTTTGGGGCTCTGAGGTGTGTTGATACAAACAGGTTTCAAGGCACAGAGTAGTGCCAGCCCTGCAGAATGATGACAGACCAAGTGATCCATCTTAGCACTGAGGCAGCATTGACTCCCTCCTAGAAGCCACAGGAATGGGACAGAATGGTGTGGGATGGCTGCACCATAGCCATGTGGCTGCAGGCATTTCTGTCGATGACTGGGTCTCCAACACACGAGAGATCACCAAGATGCCACAGCTGGCAGCAATGCAGGCCAGGGGCCACTTCCTCCTGCAGTCCTGGCCCAAGCCATGAGCAGAGAAAGCAGTATGGCCACAGTCCTTCCAGGTCTTCAAGGTGCCTGGATAGCCATCCAGGCCTGAAGAGCCCTTGCATGCAAAATCCTGCAGCCATCCTGTTGTAGGGCTGACTGAAAACCGCATGAGGAATGATTTCTAAATCTGCTGCAGAGAATTTTCAAGGAAATCCCTTCTTCCTTTGTATCTCAACTAACAACACTTCAAACGCTTCCTTGATGTTAAAAGGCCCCTGAGGAAATAAGCTGCTAGCTGCATGTTTACTTTACCTTGGCTCAGCACAGAGGGACAGTTTGTGTGCAAAATTGGAAATCACACTGCTAAGACAAAGCAAGCAGACAGGCTAGAAATGTTTGGCGCAATGCCATTATTATATCTGTTCTGTAAAAGCTAGAGTTAGAAGAGGGGAAGCGTAAAGGAAAAACAAGTCACAAGGCTGGCAGCTGCAAATTAGTGTCTTAATGCCTCTTACAGGTCAGAAACGTTTTGCTCTGTGCCTTTCTTTGATAAGTAAAATACATGTGCTTTCATTGTATGTTCTAATGAGAAGAGGTGACTCGTGCTTATGTGTGGTTATGAATTAAAGGGGTCATTATGTCAGCTAGTCCATAAACAAGATAAGTTATCTGTTGGAGAGGAGGCTGAAACATTTAAATGACTTTCCCATCCCCCCTCGTTTATCTTTTGGTCATTTAAGATAGCCTTACCACACAGGCATTTTAAAGGGATAATTTGAAAATCATCCAAGATTCAATTACCTCTAGGTGGGCAGATGTATTTGCATTTAAAAGGGATTTTAAATGGAGAAGCAATTAAATTACAGTATATATGTATTTAAAAGATCTTTCTACATATCTTCATTGCTTTTTCTCTCAGTCTCACTAAATGCTTGTGATTTCAAGTCTAGTCCCTTGCTTTTCACAGATGAAAAGGCAAGGCAAATAATAGGTGCTTCTGTCTGTTAAAGAGAGCTTACATGTGTATGTGTACATGTTTGTGTATTTGGATGTATGCAGTTTCAAATAAATAGAAGCGTCATTATCATATCGTTCAAAGCATAGCAGATTCTCCTTGGTCACCTACTGATTTAAACACTGTGACTGGTGCTCAGTTTATGCTGGCTGGCTGCCAAGCAAAAGCAATTATGTGCAATAACAGCAAAATTAAGAGGTGAATGTTGCCGTTTTACAGCAGGACATGGCAAAAACCATTTCCTTCTGTCAGCTCTGTCTTGGTTGCACACAAAGTCAGGCATGCACACTCTCATACACATATACGTACACACACATATTTGCACGCAGGCTCTTGTTCTTTTTTGTTTGCTCTCTTTCCACTGGGTTTCACCTCGAGGTCACTGAAACTAGGAAAGAGGAAGCGTATAGACCACAGTGTTTGAAAGCAAACAAGAAAAAAACTCTGACTTTGTGGAGAAGGAAAAATATCGGAAGAAAAACAAAACAAAACAAAAAAATCCTACTCCAGTTGTTGTGATGTTGGCTGTGATAATACTTTGTTTTTCTCCCACTGGCAGGTGTCCTGGTGGTAAACGTTACGTGGAGGAACAAGACTTACGTGGGAACGCTGCTGGACTGCACAAAGCATGACTGGGCCCCTCCCAGGTAAGCAATTGTTCTAATTGTGTTTTTTCTCTGCTGAATGTGTTTTCACTCCCACTTTCCGTCGAGAGACTGTATAGAGATAATAAAAACCAAAAGGTTATAATTGAGAACATGCAGCCATGAAATGAGTAATTCTCTCTTCTCCACTGAAAACTGGGGGCCTGCAGGTGGGACGTTTTATTTGCTTTTGTTTTGTGTTTTTGAGAGGGAGTAGGAGATGCATGGGATTCAAGCAAAGGGAGATAAATATACATATATTTCCATAGGTTTGGAGGAATTTTCTCTCCATTGTAATTAGGTAGTCTCATTTTTTGCCATTATTGTCTTTTTTTTTTTTAATCTCATTCTTTTTGAGACTCCAACACTATTATTTGGAAAGGCATCTGTCCTTTAATACACATGAAAGTTATGAAAGTTCTGTTATGGGAACCAGTGTTATTTTGACATATCTCTTCAGTTCACAACTCCTTCTGATGACATCTGCTCTTGTTTACATTTAGGTTTTGTGAATCTCCAACAAGTGACCTGGAAATGCGAGGAGGAAGGGGTAGGGGGAAGCGGGCAAGGTCTGCTGCAACTGTGGCTATACCTGGAAATGATACAAGTTTCACTGAGTCTAGGGGACTTCAGAGTAAGAATCGAGGTGGTGCTAATGGAAAGGGAAGGAGGGGTAGCCTTAACTCAAGTGGACGCAGGACACCCCCAAATTGCTCTGTGGATGAAGTCAAAGCCAGCCCCTCATCAACAAACAAGAGAAAAACTAAGCCTCCTATGGAGCTAGACTTAAACTCCAGTTCAGAGGACAGTAAGTGTGGAAAACGTGTTCGTACTAACTCCAGGAGCACTCCAACCACCCCACAGGGGAAACCAGAGGCTACTTTTTTGGACCAAGGCTGCTCTTCTCCGGTGCTGATTGACTGTCCTCACCCCAACTGCAACAAAAAGTACAAGCACATTAATGGACTACGATACCATCAGGCTCATGCACATTTAGACCCAGAAAACAAACTGGAGTTTGAGCCTGACAGCGAGGACAAAATTTCAGACTGTGAGGAACCATTGAGTAATGCGGCACTTGAATGCAGTGAAGCAAGCACAAATTTGCCAGGCTTTGATCCACTAAAAGCACCAACATCTCCTTCCTCTGTTACTACCCCAGGGACCCCCAAGGGAAAAAGGGAACCGACCAGCAATGGCACCAGTTCAGTTATCAGTTGCAAAACTGGCAAGAATTCAGGCAAAAAGAAGGGTCTGAACAGTGAACTGAACAGCCTTCCAGTAATTTCTAACATGTCAGCCACACTGGATAATTGCTCTGTAACAGATGGCAATTTGCAAACTGAAATGCCAAAACTGGAGGCCGAAGGGTTAATAGACAAGAAGAGTTTGAGTGATAAAGGCAAGAAAGCTAATAACTGCAAAGTGGATAAAAACATTTCCAAACTGAAAACAGCCCGGCCCATTGCCCCAACGCCAGCACCGGCTCCTCCCCAGTTAATAGCTATACCTTCTACAGCCTTTACAACCAGCACTACAGGGACAATACCAGGACTGCCCTCTCTAACAACTACTGTTGTTCAGGCTACACCAAAGAGCCCTCCGCTAAAACCTATTCAACCAAAGCCCACAATTATGGGAGAGCCAAGCACTGTAAACCCAGCTCTCACATCACTCAAAGACAAAAAGAAAAGGGAGAAGCGTAAGCTAAAGGACAAAGAAAGCAAAGAGAGTGGAAGCCCTAAAATGGATTCTAAGCTGGGAAAGCTAGAGGATTCAAAAGGGTCTGGGAAAGATTTATCTGGACATTTTTTAAAGGACCATCTCAATAAGAATGAAGTGTTAGCTAATGGACTTTCTGAGTCTCAAGAGAGCAGGATGGCAAGTATTAAGGCTGAAGCTGATAAGGTTTACACATTCACAGACAATGCGCCCAGCCCTTCTATAGGGAGTGCCTCCAGGATGGAATGCAGCACTTTGGTGAATGGACAATCTTCAATGGCGCCACTGCATGTGTTAACACAAAATGGTGCGGACAGCGCTGCTGCCAAAACCAACAGCCCTGCTTACTCTGATATTTCTGATGCAGCTGATGATGGTGGCTCTGACAGCCGGTCAGAGGGTGTGAGGTCAAAGGCCAGCTCTCCTTCAGATATCATTTCTAATAAGGACAGTGTTGTAAAAGTACATTCTTCAACCGCATCACAGTCAGCACAAGCGAAAGAGTCCCATTCTCCCTATTACCATGGCTACGATCCTTATTATTCTCCAAGTTACATGCAGTCTGGACAGGTCAGTGCCCCAGCAGCTGGAAACTGCAGTACCCCACAGGGACTGAAGATCAAAAAAGAGGCAGATGAAGAGGCTGAAAAGAAGGAGAAGGGGGAACCGTCAGAAGCCAAGAAGAATGAAAGTGGTTCCTCTAATTTGCAGCCACAACATCAGTCAGTAATAACACAAAGACACCCTGCACTTGCTCAGTCACTTTATTATGGACAGTATGCCTATGGGCTCTATATGGACCAAAAGTCCTTAATGGCCTCTAACCCTGCTTACAGACAGCAGTATGAAAAATATTATGAGGACCAGCGGCTAGCAGAGCAGAAGTTGGTACAGACTGGGAGGGACTGTGAAAGGAAGAATGAACCTCCGTTGAAGGAAATTGGAAAGGATGATAAGCAGAAAAATATTCCGTCTGCAACTATTTCAAAGGCTCCTTCAACTCCGGAGTTGAGCAAAAATAACACTAAAATAGGGTCTTTGGTCCCTAGCAAAGGTGAGGAGACAAGCAAATCACAGATCCTTTCCAATCACCAGCAGCAGCTTCAGTCTGACAGTTTCAAAGCCAAACAAATGGAAAACCATCAGCTCATAAAGGAGGCTGTGGAGATGAAATCTGTCATGGACTCCATGAAGCAAACGGGCGTAGATCCAACTACAAGATTTAAACAGGTGAGATCACAGGAAATGGAACAAGAATGTCTTGGTTTGTCCTTAAAATGTATGGGATTTTATCCCTGATTTTGCCATGTTCTTCTACCTTTGCGGTCAAGCGAGCTCCACCATCCTTTTTTCATGCTGGATAGTACTGTGGTCTGTGAATAGACCAATAGACCTTTCAGTTGAGCTGCTTGAAAAGAGAAAAAAAGATCTAGCAAGGTGGTGACAGGATCCAGACTTAAGACTTGAACAGACTATTTTAAATTACATGCATGAATAAAAATAATTAGATTACTCTTTTAGATGTAAAATCTAAGCAATTTGCTTAGTTTAGAAATGAGACATTTCAAGCAACAAAAGCAGCTTCCATTGAGAGGACTTGAAGTAGATTTGAAACATGGTTTGAAGTGTTTCCTTTTTTTTTTTCTTCTTTTTTTTTTTTTGTTAAATGACAGTTGGCATTTACAAAAGATGGGTGAGCTGGTTCTTTGAAGAGTTGGCTTGAAGCTCAGCTAGTTATCTTAACCCAAGGTGACCTTTTTGAAACAGTTTAGTTCCCCTTCTCTCCTCAACCAACCTCAAACCCCTACGGACCCACACAATGGATGAAATCCTTTCTCCATTGAAGTCAGTGATAGTTTTGCTGTTGACTTCAGTGGAACCAGAATTTCATCCAGTGGCTCATGCTGACCTTCCTAGATGTCAAATTTCCTTCATTCCAGGCAATGTTACTGACTCTGTGTTCTGAACTGAAGCCTCAGCGCTTAACACTTTCATGTTCTGGGGGATGATACAACCCAAACTTCACCCTAGCAGTCTGTCTTTCAAGATGCAGTGGGGTCAGGTGAATGGGAGTTGGAGAGCTCTAAAGGAACTGGGATGGCACAGGCCTGAGAAAAAGAAGATTTCTGCTGATTCAAATGAATTTTTGAACCAGACAGTCCAAGCGTCTAATTCTGTGCTTATGTTTTCATTGCATGTGTATCTGTTAGAGCAGTGTTTGCACTTAGCTGTTCCATATTTTGCATTTAAAAAAAAAAAAAAAAATCTTGCTATTATTGTTCAGTACTGATGATTTTATGTAGTCTGGTAAATAAGTCACCTTTTTAATTCTACAAAGTGTCCATAAACTGTTTTATGTAATATATTAAGCAAAAAATGCATTTGTGATACCCTGTATATGTACCCTAAGCCTTGTGTTGACACTGTGAATGTTTATCCATGTGTAATTTTACAAACTTAAAACAAGACTGCCAACCCAGAGAAGCCTGCTGAAGTGTCTGATCTGGACTGATTTATGAATGTTTGCAATATCTGATAGCATAATCATCTTTTCAGCTAGATTTGTTTTTCGTATTCATTGTTCCAGGTAATCTAAATGCTCTGACGTATCGTTAGGCAGCTTTAATTTCGTGGTTTCGCAGATATTTTTTGCTCTCTACTGGGAAGATATCTCTGTGGGCTTTAATTAAAATGTTTTATGAATAGCATGGTCTCAGAACTTTGGTACAATGCATACGTATTTCATGATTAAAATAGTTAAAGGCATGAAGAAGGATATAAAATGAAGCAGTTGAATTAAATTTTGATAATAGCCTCTTAGTCTTTCATGGGAATGTTGGTTTGTCTCTGAGCTCAAGGCACTCTGTAGCAAGCAAATCTCTATGTAATATGGATATGTTATTAAACTAGTTGTTAAAAGTGCATTAAGTGAAATGTGAGGAATATCAATATTGATTTTTTTTCAACATACAAGTTTAGAACAAAATTTTCTTCTCCTCCATATTAGGATCCAGATACACGAACATGGCATCATTATGTCTATCAGCCTAAATACCTTGATCAGCAAAAATCAGAAGAACTTGATCGGGATAAAAAGTTAAAAGAAGACAGCCCTAGAAAAACACCTAACAAGGAAAGTTCCCTGCCTAACCTTCCTGTCTCATTAGCAAGCATTAAAGAGGAGCCTAAAGAGGTCAAGCGTTCTGATTCTCAATCAGTGGATGAGAGCAAGATAAAAAATGATGATCGAAAGACTCCTGTAAATTGGAAGGACTCTCGAGGTGCTAGAGTAGCAGTTTCCTCACCAATGAGTCAGCATCAGTCATATATCCAGTACTTGCATGCTTATCCTTATCCACAGATGTATGATCCCAACCATCCAGCCTATCGAGCAGTCTCTCCTGTCCTAATGCACAGCTATCCTGGTATGTATTCTGAAATTTGCCTTGTGCACTCGTTAAGATTTGCACATTCAAAGTGTAGTGAAGCTTGAATTTTATTATTTCTGATAGTAGCTAAAGCAAATCAGAAGCTTTGTGGGTGACGTTTGTATTGTTAGTGCTTCCACTTGGGAAAGTTCTATAGATCAAACAGATTTGACACAAAATGTTCCTTTTTTGAACTGTCACAGTTTCCAGCCAGAGTTTCCTCAATCCTTGACTGTCTGCTGTTGCTGTTAGACTGATGGATAGGTTATATCCTATAAAAATATTCTAAGCACTTACAGTCAAAACCATTATAGTTACTACTTCTTTCACTTAAAGAGGACCCATAAATGTATGAAATGGCTATCAGCTCAACCTTCTTTATAATCTCCATTCCATAATCAGCCATCAGGATAAAGTAGATATTAAAAAAAAAAAAAAAAAAAGAAGAGCAAAGCTTCTGTCTGATAGCCACTTGATCTGATCTTGATGTTACCCTCTCCCCTGGCATTCCCTTCTGCTACATCAATGCAACCAAAATGTGAAAACAGCAACCTGATATTGTATTTCTCGTTTATCTGCAGGGGCATATCTCTCTCCAGGATTTCATTACCCAGTTTATGGGAAGGTGTCAGGGAGAGAAGAGGCGGAGAAAGTCAGTACCAGCCCAAGCATCAATACAAAATCAACCACTGAGTCCAAAGCACTGGATTTGCTCCAGCAGCATGCCAGCCAGTATCGCAGCAAGTCTCCTGTTGTAAGGCTTCCTCTGTTGTTATTCAGGAGTGGTGCATTTGGAGATGTCTAATGAACACCATTTTAAGAAGCATACGATCTGGCATCAAGCATTGAATACATAATGCTTCTTTGTATTACTGCTTAAAATTAGTTTCAAGTCATGATGTTTCTGTGACGTAAATTAGAAGTGACACATGTAACAGGGTTCTTGTTCTCAGAGTCTGCCTAACTTAAATGAATGGACTTATATGGAGCCTAGATTCAGAGATACCTCCTGGTGCACAGTTTATTGCAGTTGGTAGGAAGCTTCTGTTTGGAAACAGAAAACGAAATGGGAAGTTGAGCTGTGGGATTTGGTAAGATACCCTGCTTGTATTTGCTGTGAAGCCATATCTTCCAAACAGCAGATTATTAGTCCTCATCTATGAAGATTTCCAATGTTGGCACAAACACTAAGACTTTCAGACAAGTTGGTGCTGGTTTTAATTGCGAGCAAGTCACTGGCTTTCATTCTATTTTCAAAAGGTCTTTCTAGCTATTCAGACAGATTTGATCCTAGAGTGCTTAGCGGGCTGAGAAGTCTCTACATCAGTTTTTCACCAGCTTAAGTACCAGAACCAGTTCATGCATTGGCAAGTCAGCCAAGCTTATGGGTACGTGAAATGGAAATCAGCATGGTGACTTCATCCTGCAGTTTGTTGTGCCAGAATCTCTGCTCATTGAATTCTTCTGTTGGGCAGATACACCAGCTTTATGTTAGAATCGAGTTCAATAATCCATTAAATTATTAGCTTCACCATTTGAATGCAGAAGGTCCTTGGCATTTAATGTTGGCAAGTGTTTTCTTTTTTGTAATTGTTGAGATTTCCATCTTTAAAAAAATAATAATAATAATTAATTAATCTCACATCAGTTTTCTACCACTTTTTATTGCTAGCCCGTGGAAAAATCGGCAGCTGACCGTGAACGGGAAGCAGAAAGGGAACGAGATCGTCATTCACCTTTTAGCCAGCGACATCTCCACACACACCATCACACACATGTTGGAATGGGTTACCCGCTTATACCTGGACAATATGACCCATTTCAAGGTGAGCAGAAGGTTTCGACTGATGAGATTAATTTGCCTTGTCAAATTGTTGCTTTGACATTGCAAGTCATGCCTACATGAGGCATTTTGAATAGAGATCCCCTTGTTAAATCAAAAATGCATTACATTTAAGAAGAAAGTTTGGAAACTCACAACTAGGACTGAAAGTAAATGAATAGTCTCATGCCTGAAGAGATACCAGGTTTTGTTACCAAGACTGCTACTTAGAATATTATTAAAGATGTACCAGTTAGGCTGTGTCACTTGTGTGCATGTCTTGATTACTGTTGCAAGCTGACGTTAACTGGATGAAAGACACTGAAAAACAAACAACCTCCTTTTTATATAATTAGGATTGTGTAGGCAATGGAAGAAGTATAGCAAAGACAAAAGCTTTTTATAATGAGGATATTTTATGTACAAGGCATTGTAGTCACAAGGGTTTGAGCTTGTTATAATTCCAGTGTCTGAAAGAGAACTCTTTGTATTTTGTCAGATGCAGTGCATAAAGTTACAATCAGGGAAAAGCAGCACAGTGACACATGATTCATTCTCTCTAGGTTTTATCCCAGTCTCTGACCGTTTTTCAGTGAGTCTGGATTCTAGTTGTATTAAAATGAGGTTTCCTCCCATGCAGCAAAGTATGTGCTATCACAGTTGCTGGCTAAAACAGCATTAATTCATTATGTTCACTTGGTGTCTCAGCAGCTATTTTTCCTTTGTAAAAGTCTTGACATGTCTCAGTTTGATTCAGTGATGCCATGTGCCTACGGGATGCATCATGCTTGTTCAGTAGGAAAACTATAAAATGGGAAGTCATTATGAGAGCATTGTATTCTGAGCAGCTGGCATGTCGTGTCTACAATTGACGGTGACTTTTGGTACTTGTTGTTTCCTAGTACCTGTTAATTCTACTGAGCTTACTGTTTAAGAATTCATACAAACCATTTAGCAGCATGCAGTGCAGTACTTGAAAAGGAATACAATCAGTAGAAATGTTGTATTTTCTTGTAAAATATCTCTTAAGGACATTTCAGTATACTTAGAAGAAGGCACATAGATCATACTAGCCAGGCTTCCTTAATGCTGTTGCCTGAAACATTTGCCATTGGTGTAATATTGACACCACGCCATTTCTTAATGGTGCTTTCTGTTTGTTTGCCTTAGCGATACTTCCTACTTTTTCTCACAAAGACCCATTAAAACCAGAAGTACATCAACATTCCTTCATTTCTTCTTTCCCTCAGGATTGACCTCTGCTGCCCTTGTTGCCACTCAGCAGGTGGCTGCGCAGGCATCTGCATCTGGTATGTTTCCTGCACAAAGAAGGTAAATAGCCAGTAAATCTTAAGTTATATATCTTAACACAGAGAGGAGAAAGCAAACAATAGATTTTATAACCTGATGGTTTGAACTTCCTTGTGTGAGGAGGAAATAAGGCTGGAGCTCTGGGATATTCATAGTTTTATTCTCATTGAGGTCACATTTTGTCCTGTTTTGCCTTTTAATTATAAGGTAGTTGATGAACAGGGAACAAGTAGTCTGCCTTCTGAGATTTTCCATAAATTACAAGTATTGGTATTGTTAAGATAAAGTAAGTGATTCTGAAATTATAAGTTAAAATCTACTTTTATGTATGTATTTATTTGTTTATTAAAAGGGATTAAAACTTCATGTTCAGTTACATCTGTGTCCTATGAGGAAAACTTTAAGAGTCTGTCTTATCTGGTTTGGTTGATTTTACTATCAGAGAGTTTTGCCTCTAGGTTTTCAGTAAAGTTTACTCTCCAAGTGTCATCCTTATTTTTCAAGAAGGAAGAGACTTTTCTGTACAATAATGATCCCATTTCAGCTGCAAAGCACAAAGCACCACAAACAGGGCTCTCTCGGTGCTGCCCTGTTAAGTCTTAAAGTTTGATTTATTAGTATTAGTACTATAAAGTTCTATGGTTATGGTTGTCTTTCTGAAAGCTGACTCTGAACACAAATGGGCGTGTAAAGCTCTCAGCTGAAATTATTTGAATAAGAAAGGTTGCTAGGTCAGAAAGGTCTGGTGCACACTAGGGTTTCAATGTTAGTGCTTTTTACCTGCTAATATGTTCCTGGCAGGGGAAGGAAGAGGACGTGGCTTGGATGTCTTTCCTGCTTGGGTTTGAGAGTGCTGTGCAGATTTCATTTCACAGTTTATCCGAGGTGCAGAAAATGTTAGGAAAAAAGAACAGCACATACTAAAACGTTCTTCTTTCTCTTTTCAGAGAATGATGAGTTTGGAGATGTACATTGTCATGTGACTGGATCACATGAGGAAGCGCTTTATTACAGACATCAGTTCCATGGTGTTAATTTGAGATGCCTTAATGGCAGGCAAAAACCAGTCATTTCATTTTTGTAAATTGCAGATTTTATCACAGAGTAACAAATGTTGCTGTAATTAGACTTCTGTTTTTATATATATATATGCGTATATATATATACATATATATATAAAAATATATATATATTCTTTACTTTTTTTGTATCAATAACCAGGCTCACACACAGGGTCTGCTGCTAAGTTGCAAACCACCTAGTAAAAGGAGAAATGTATTTGTCATGTTTAGAAAGTGTTAACCACAAAAGGTTGTTTGTTTCTTTTCTCTTCTTCTGTTTCCTTTTTTTTTTTTTCCTTTCAAATTGTAAATAAATAATGTTATGTATCAGTGTGCCTGAACCTTGCGTACCCTTCTGATATTTCCCACAAGCTCTCAGAGAGGCTAACTGTGATGACACTTTGGTACAATGTAGATGTCTATTTGGTGGCTTCTATTAAGATGCATCAGTGTAAAATGTTACTGTATTCGCTGTTTCATTGTAATTGTGTATTGTGAAAAATATACCTTTGGAAGGCATGGGGATCTTAGTACCACAAAAACTGTGTTGTACATAATGTAAAATTTTTAAATGGAAAATAATGAGCATCTGTGAATAATGAAATGTCTTTTTTGATAATCTTGAATGGCAGATAACCAATAGCCTGCATAACAGAAGACATCTGTGATTGTTCTATTACTTGAATAGTCCTGCAGTCTTTTTTTTAATGTTTACAATTATCCAGTTTTAGAAGAGAGACTTTAATGCCATTGCCTGGTTACTTGTTTTATGCTGTAATCTAGTTTATTTTATGTAAAATGTATATTGAATGCTTTCATTTTTATACCTGCCTTAAATAATTTGGCAATCAGAATAAAGAAAAAAAGTTGTTTTTGTACTTTCTTGGTGTCTATGGGCCACTTCAAAAATGTGTCTTGTAGGCGTAGGTAGCAGAGCCTGAAGTTGCCACACAACTCCTAGTCTGTGTCTCAGAAGCATTCCCTGGGACTCAGTTACCAGTGTGCCCAGCAGCGATTCTCTGCCTTCCTTGCTGGGTCTGCAGTGCTGTCTTCTCCCAGGGGCAATGTGGGACCCAAGCAGCAGACCGCTTTCTGTTGACCTCAGAAGGCTTGGAAGAGGCCCATGGTAGACTCAGGTGGCATTTGTGGTACTTGAAAAGGCACTACAGGTTTGCCTTTTTTGGCACAGCTGTGTTACTATAAAATACAGGTGATTTTTGTGTGATATCTGTATTGCCCTCAAAAATAAGCAGGTGCACAAAAATGGAGAACATATAGCTTAAAAGAAAAATGCCATTGCTGTGCTTAACCATTGGTACCTGTATTACCACAAAATAAATGTATTTTGTGGCCATATCGCCTATGTTGTTATATTGCACTAAACACAGTACACAGGATTACGAAGACACTAATTGTAACTTGAAAAAAAAAGTCAGATTTACTGGTCAGGTTTTTGAGGCTTTAAATTCTATCCTTTCCTACATATCCCAGTTGTATCACTTGTTGAAACTATTTTTTAAAGTTTAATATTGTTTTGGTTTTTTTTTGGCAGGGTGAATTAATGGAAGTTAGAGCTGTTTATGAAGTCCATTCCATTTCTCCCGCCTTGTGAATACTTAATACAGATGGATGAATTAAAGGTCCTCAGCAGACAAGCACACTTGGAGTTTTTATATTGCTATGATGAATCTGCCATTCATATTGCTATAATTGTTTTATTTTTGTAGGCGTAAAATCAGTTCACTTAGTGGCTAGTAGTAAGGCTTGTTGATTTTTAATATACATTATTTGTCTGTGGCTAACTTACATCTTGTTCTGAACACGTTCATAAGGCTCACAGTGCTGACATACCACAAACTAGTTTCATCAGAAATGGGCAGAAAAGGGTGCTTTTTTTGGAGATGGGGATATTGTGAATACAGAACTCCTGAAAAATAAGTGCCTTATGACTTCTATATTAAAAGCCTAGTTGGCTTTTGTACTGAGATATGCCATTGATTTCTTTTCTGTCTAGACTGCTAATGCTTCTGCAGCAAAACAGATCTTACAAATTCACACCATCTGTGATTTTGATTTGGTGTGGCTTAATATTGTGTTGTAGGTAACTGGAATGAATTACTCTGATTGACGCAGGGTAAGCAGCAGCTAAAATAATATTTAATGTTATAGCTTTATTATGTCCTTGAAATCTGTAAGAGAGGCTTATGGTCATTGCCATTTATTGTCTTCCTCCACTAAGGTTAATTTTTTCCCTCTATCTTCATAACTTTCCTTTTGATTTAATGCTTTCCACTTCCTTAAAAGCTGTGTAATTGGTTCAGTACTCCTCAAAGCCAAAAGCTGTTCAGCTACGTGTCCAAGCTTGACATGCAACTGCTGTAATCATCTAATCCCTGTATACCCAAATGATGAGCAGAATTAAACAGTAATATGAGGAAGGCAGTTTACAAACCTGGGAACTAAGGGCTGCAGAAGCTGATAGCTGGCAAAGGGCATCTGAAGCAGTGTGGTACAGATCTACTTGTACCTCGGGCAGGGCTTGCACTCCTTGTGACTTGCAACTAACAACCCTACTGCTCTGCTCTTATAGCACCTACTATCAATGAACCTACTCTGTCTTTCATCAAAATGTTGCCAGACATCTCTTAGAGGTGAACTAGGGCTTTGTTATTACACTTACTTCTCTGAGTTTCTAATCTGTCCATGCCATGCAGCTAGAGGAATGAAACGTCTCGTCAGTGGGAGCCCACCACACCAACCCACAAAGCCCAGCCAGGGAGCTATTGCCTGTGATGCTTGCAGTGGGAAAAAACAGATGTGAATCAAGAGGCGGTAGGTTGTTTTGTTTTGTTGTTGCTTTTGATCAGTCTTGCAATTCTGGAGGCTGAAATAGGATGGAGATCTAAAAGACAATTGGATGGCTGTCCTAGCTAAACTATTGAAAATGGGGCTCAAGAGAAACATTTTTCCAGTTTTGTATGTGGCCTTGGGGAACACTTAAGAACTTACAGAACTAATTCTGTGCTGTTTCCTGCATCCCTTGCTTCTGAAGGGTGTGTTGCGTGGATGTAATCACTGGGTCATAAGTCTCCAACAAATGCTGGCAGTGCATGTGCCTTCAGTAGGTGTGAGATGAGAGAACACATGAATCCGTACTAGAATGTACCATGTACTGCTGATAGTACAAAAACTGGCATAAAAAAGAGCTTCAGAAGTACATTTCTGCAGTTCCTCAGCCTGGCTGTTATCAGGGAGGGTGAAAGAATCATGTAAGAAATCTTATTTCCTACTTATTTCCTGCTTATTTCCTACTGGCATCACAATCTTGCCACTGATTGATCACAGCTAACAAATGTACTGTCCTCATCATTCTGCCTCAGAATATCTCACTAAATAATGGTTTGCCATGTAAGAGCTCTCTTGCTCTTTCACACCTGTCTCCTACTCTTCTCCCTGCTTGACCACTTAACAAGCTCTTAAGCTTTCGTCCATTCAGTACCATCAAAACTCAGTCTTCCTGTTTGTATAGCTAAAAACCCACGTAGATTTATGATCTCAACCCTTGATTACTTCTCTGCCTCTTTCCTTTTATCAACCTTCCTTTCTGAGCTGTGTTTTTAAATATATCTTATGCTGTGTTAATGCATCCTATTTCTCTTCAGCCTGAAGTGTTGTGGATAGTCTTGTTTCACCGTCATATAGAACAGGTCTTATTTATAGCTCCTTCTGAATAATAGCAATGGATGATTTTAACATAGATGATAGTGTAAGTTCTCCTGAGTAGCTAGAGCAGACCATTATTAACAAGGACATTTTTAGACCATTATTAACTAACAAAAGACATAACAGTTTTAAAAGGAATTTTGAAACCATTTAATAACACAGGAACTAGAAAAAAATATCAAGCCGATAGAAGCAATTTGATGGTGTAATCAGAGAGAAATGGAGGTATACAGTCATTGCTTAATGAACTAGCTTTGCTTTTATTTAGAAGGAAAACTGTTTTCTTCATTTGTTTCAGTTTTAATCTTTTATGTATCTTTCTATATCAACGCTCCGTAAAATCACCATTAATTATGATTTTCTTTGATGGTTTTACTTACATCAGCATTTCCTAACTTCACATAGTTTTAGCCTTTTCTTTAAGTTTTTTTGTTTTATTTTGTTTTTGAGCAAGTCCTACTTGTTACTTTTACTGAGAAATGCATGAGTATATGATTCAAGAGAAGTCACATTTGACTCACAGAAGCAGCATAAGCTATCTGCTTTAGTTTAAATGGAAAAACCCCAGGTCATTTTTGTTACGTTCTTCACCGCTTTCTTTAGAGCATGAGATTTAGAAAGTCTGTTTTTTATGGAAACTGGAAAACAAAAGAAGTCTAATAACCTGTATGTGTTTTTCAGCTCAGTTTCAGGACACCTTTACTGATCCAGAGACCATTTTCTGCCTTACCATAGTGCACACAAAGTCCTTTCTAACCTATCCAGTGTTTTTTAGCAGTTGAGTCTGTTATTCTGAAGGAGGGGAAAGCTTTTCAAAGACACTATTTTTCACCTTCTTAACCATTTTAAGGTAGTTTGATGGTTGTAGGAAACCATTAAAATCCTTATAGCAACTCTTAGGAATTGCAACCAGCTAAATAGTGTTCTCAACTCTTAAACTTCTTATCTAGGCTGATAAATGAGCAAACTCAAGGGTTTTGCACAGGTAACTATTACTTGCCACTGACAATATTTATCATGTAGAAAAGTTGTTATCCACTGTAATGTCATAAGGAAGTGCTCTGGGAACTTTGAAAGCAGATGTTATTATAGACAGATGAACTGCTATAGATTAAGGTGATAACTAGTTCTGTTTCAGTAGCTACATAGTGTTTTCAGCAGCTTTGTGAAATATTTTGAGGTGGTATAATGGTGTGTGTTAGTTATGTGATTTCCATCGTTTGAATTTGCTGATGTAGAACTGTGCTTGTTTGTAGTTTTCAGCATAATGCTTCAGGGTTGGTTTGTGAAACTGAGTAGTATAGTAGTGCCCGATGAAAAAAGAACTGAGGAAGCAACAATTCTCTGAAAGCCTGTTTAAACCCTGAACACAAATTTCAAGGTATGCATGTTGACAGATAGAGTAAATGGTTGCAGTCCTTGGCTGGAGAGGATGGATGGGACCAGGACAGTCCCAAGGAACCCCTGCCCCAACTTGAATGTGGTGAACCAAGGACTTGCAGTTTGCTGCTGCAAGACTTGTTTTGGAACTATTTCTAATAGAAGAGTATGCAGGAGATGTGCTTCAGTCGAACCCTTGTTAATATTTTCTTAATTAGCCCAGTGAAAGTCAAAACAGTGGCAATAAATAAATAAAAATAAATAGCCCCAGAGTTTTCTGATCAGAGAACCTCCTAGGTAGTACTTGCTGCAGTTTGCATTCATAAAACTTTTGTCCACGTAACACTAGAAATAACTTCAGGGAGCAAAGGAAGATTTTCCTCTCCCCCATGCCTCATGAATGACTGAAAGGGACAGGATTTGCACTTAGTTTTAAAAAGAACTGGCCTTTAATATGCGTGCTGAGATTGAGTAATTTTCTTGAACAGAACCGGTTTCTACTTGATAAGTCTTCATTCTGCTGTGCTGGCCTTCAGACATCTGCCTACCTTATTCCTTTGAGTATCTATGTTTCCTTGGTGACAGCAGAAGGAAGCAGATCAAGGACTAAATGGACTGTAGGGATGGCCTGACAGTTCTGCTTTTCCATTGCTTCTGCATGCCAGAGCAAGGCTTTTGTAATTCCTTTTCTCCTCACCTTTCCCTACCTCTGTCTCCAAGTCAGTTTTAAGTGTTTGCAGTGATAAGCCCCATCAAGCTGCTGATCTTTTAAGCAGAGCTCCAGACAGAAAGGTCATTAAAATGTCAGTGACACAGTATGTTTTCCATGCCTTGCTTTGGGATGTAACAATTTAATACCAGGCTTTGCCTCGAGTATCTGCTGAGACCCTTAATGATCTTCCTACTTTCAAGTGAACTGGTTTCCTCTAATAGAGAGTTTGCCAAAATCCTCAGCCTCTGTAGATGTCTTGTGACTTACTGATGTCAGATGGCCATTTTACATTTTATGTATTGTAATTTAATGTTGATGAGTAGTTCAGCACCAACATAACATTTTCTCATTCCCTTTCCTCAAAGAGCAGGGGGAGAAAATAGTAAAAAAGACTGAAGGAGAAGGACAGGGAGATTGTTCCCCAGTTGCTGTCATGGGCAAAAGAAGTGTAGCGTAAGACACTGAAGCAATTTGTCGCCAACTAATAACAGACCAGAGCAATGAGAACTAAAAGCAAACAAACTGAACCACCATCTTCCCATCCATATTCTTTGTTCATCTCCCCACAAATGCCACAGAAGAACAGTGGACAGTGGCTGCTGTGGTCAGCCGATAACACTATCCCTGCACCTCTCCACGGTCACTCTCCGCCCCTGCTGCACGTGGGTCCCTCCCATTGATGCCATCCTTCCCAATCTGATCCTGCATAAGCCCCCCAGGCAGCAGCTCTCCAAGCACCACTTCTGCACCGTGCCACTCTTCAGGCACTGCTCCCCCAGCCCTCGTGCTGCCCCATGGGCCGCTCTGCCTGGGCTGCAGCTCCAGCCCAGGGCTGCTTCTGTGTGGTACCCACAGCTGTACCTCCTCCAGGCCACATCCACACCTGCATCAGGGGCTCCTTCATGTCCACATGTGGAGATGCACTCCATGCAGTGCCCACGGGCTGCAGAGAGCTGCTGCTCAGTTGTTGGAGCATCTCTCATCCTCCTGCCCCATCCTCAGAGCACACAGAGCTGCTTCTCTCACACAGCTCGCTGTTCTCTCCCAGCTGCTATCCAGTGACAACTTTTCCTTTCCTAAACCTGCTGTTCAAGAGTGCAATCAGCACTGCTCATGGCCCAGCTCTGGCAACACTGGGTCTTTTCTGGAGCAGTTGAAGATGTCTCTGATCTGACATGGGACAGTGCTGGGCCCTGCTCACAGAACCCCTGCAGCACTGCTGATACCAAACCTAAGTAGATCATTTGAGTTACATACAGAGAGCGAAGGGAACTATTAAAGGCTTGTCCTGGTGGTTAGGCAGGACAGGACACTTTGACACAGAAGTCACCAAGCCAAAAACTGCTGAATCTGCCCTACAGATTCCAGTGTTAAACTCTACTGAAACAGGAGGATTTGGAGAGTCACAGGTCCAGCAAGATCACCCAAGCAGAATAAAGAACAGTGGCACTACATAAGTCACTAACCAACCTAGGGTGTAGTTAGAAAACACTGATACTGTGAATTGCATTGCTCTGGTGCATAAAACTCTGGTGCTGGACAGATGGCTTCGCACAGCTAACATAGAACGTACGTCTTCAGATCCAGTTGGACTGTCCTGAATGCTCAGGCAGCTGCTGTATGCTTACAAGTTGCTGCTGGCTCATGAGTTGTCATCTCAGTACAATTTGATTTCTTCAGTATCACGGGTCTGCAGCAGCAAGAGATACAATGTTTGTTATGCCACAAGTAGTGGAACTTACTGAGTCCAAACAAGTTACAGAAGATGAAGCAGCATAAAGCATGAAGTAGCCTGCAAGCTCAAGCATGGCCATGACAACTTAGTCTATAGAAGGCACTATGCTTGTCACCTCTCTAATAAATATGCAATTCCTCTATTTCCAAGAGAATGTGATTTCTCTTATCTTTGAACTGCTATACACCAAGGACAGGTCTCTTCGTCTGCCATGTGAAGACAGGAGTTACTGTTCTACAGAGAAAAGGAATATAATTGCAGAGTAGAACATTGTCAGCTAGGAGACTATCCGTCAAATCAGAGGTGTATTTCTGCATTTGCACTCCCAGTCGTGGCAGTAAATTGAAAGCTTTGGTTCTCTGTTTTCTTGTTAAGTAGATCAATTCTCATATTCTTTTGGGGCACATGAAATGGCAGTATTAGATTACTAGCCATCAGTAAGAAGGGCCTATATCTTCTCTCATTAATTGGCTGGTACACATTGTAAGAATCCATCTTGAGTATTTTTCTCAGTGGGAAATCATAGTTTTGTTCTTACTAGATCTTTTATTTTGGCTGCTGCATTTTCAAACAGCATGCAACATAGATAAGGGAGATCCCAGCTGAAATCTTCAGGACAGCTTTTCATATGTTTTCAAAATTTGTATCACACTCTCATATTACCTATCACGGTATTTGACAGAACCAGGCTCTTTCCAATGGTGCCCAGTGGCAGGACAAAGACCACAGGATGAAACACTTTGCTGTGTGGATGACAGCAAGCGCATTGCAGTGGATGATGGATCAGTGTAACACAAGCGTATGGAATTGGTTTTGGAGGGGGGGGGAGTGGGAGGGATTTATCAGGGCAGCTTAGAGCAGTGCAGGACCACTTTGCCTCTTGCCCTTTCACACACCCACACCCCTTTCTAGACTGTTTGTGGTTATATTTACTGTCCCTTAGTCCCTAGTGATAGCATCAAGGTTGGATGCTGTTCTTGAATCAACAATTAAATTCTCTCTGTTCTAACACCATCAGGAGTAAATTGCTAGCTAATCACCAAGGAAAAGAGATTTGCAGGACAAGTTATTCTGGGACAAGTGCAGCTAGTAAAGACAAGTTTTTAATGGCTTTCTCACCTATTTGGAATTTCATATGTTCAATAATTAGTGAACTTCTTAGTATTTTCCTATATGAAGTCACTACTAGGCTGTCTCTCCTATGGCTATTTACAAGTTCTTATGAAATTATAGGTCTTTGAAGCATCTGTCTGTAGTTTAATTGCAACAGACTCAAACGTTATGTGCAAGGGAAGGGCTACGTATAGTTTAATTACAGGAAATGAAAATGAGAGTTGTGTCAGGCTCTCCTCTTGTGTATGTCCTAAACAGTCAAAAAGGCAAACAGCCTAAAGGCAGCTGTGAGTGTAACCACATCTATTCCCCTCACAGCAGTGGGGTGACTGGGGCTTCCGTAAGGCCCTATATGTGCAACTGCATCGTGCTCTGCACCACAAGCGCAGTGCAGAATGTCTCCAGAGACCACAGCTGTAGTAAAGAGAAGTGGCTGTATTTCATTTGTTTTCTTAGAAGTGTACAGCCATGAATAACGTGGTAAACTGACATAAGCCAAGGTAGCAGCTCTTGACTTCTAGATCTGCCAGTAGTCACAAGAATGAATATAGTCTCAAATTATTCTGTTACAGAGGTATTTATATGTTTAGCTGTAGGTTTAACGTGTCTTTATTACCATGACACAAGGCACAGGACAGTCTGGATTTAAGAAAAGTTATGGGCATTATTTTTAATGTTTCTGGGTGCCAACAAACATCAGCGAACATTTCTGCTCTTTTATAATAAGCTAGTTCAGACATAGCAAAAGAAGGAAGGTTTATTTTTGAAAACTATGAGTAGTAACAACATAATGGTTTCGTTATCTAAATTTCAGTCACAACAAGGACAAAAAAAAAAAAATCCCTCTTGTGCATGCTGAAGAGCTTTTCAGTCCTGAAAAAAACAATACCATATTCACACTAATGTTTGCTTGCATAATATATTGACTGTAGACACACTGGCAGTTTTACATAATAACTTAAAAGCAGTCTTGATCATCTGAAAGGTTATAATTGTTCTTCCCCTTTCCTGAAAGGCTAATGAAAGGACAACTAAAAAGCAGAACTATATAGTTATTTTCTAACTGGCACTAACAAATTTAACCAATTATAGAGTCCATTCTGTAAGCAATGAATGTATGGCTCCCAATTAATCTAGTGTACCTCTAGGCAAGGTCTAAATCAGCTGGATACAGCTAAAGCAATTTGCACACAGCTAAAAGCAAATTGGAAAATAAGTGTTCATGCTACTGCCTATCTTCCCAAGCCAAATACACAATGGTATGCTGGCAGCAGTGCTCTGTCATGTTATTTGCAGCTATCAATTTTAATTATAACAATTATTGATTAGTTGGGAAAGTGAATAACCTAATGTTCAAATGAGATTGGCACGGCTTCTGGGGATCTTTCTTCCCTTTCATGCATAAGTCTGTGCAGCATTAAGAAATACTAAGAAGATACCTGCTTCACTTTACTGAGCTTAGCTAACTGTGAAGTTGCAGCAGTGATTTTTGTTGTTATTTTTGTTTACAACACAAGTTGATAAGAATTGAACAAGGGCTCAGTTCAGGACTGCAGGCCAAAAATTCCAAATGTAGGCACGTACCTATTTTCTTACTTAACCACCCAAGCAAATGAGCTGCTTTGTACATGAAGAGTGCTTCTTTTGCCCAGTGATTCCAGCTATTTGCTAGCCTACTTTTAGAAACAAGCTGCTTCTTTTTGTAGAACAGTGCTTCTCTTGGAAGAGAGAAAAGAGGAAATAGTCCAATCCTAGACGCACTGAGGGTTGTATGAATTTCAGCTAAATAGAGCCAAGAGGAGTATATCCAGAATGGAACAGGGTTTCAACCACAAAGGCTGAACAAAGGTCCAAGTTTTTGGTGCAATGCTCTCCTTTGCTATGTTGCTCAAGACTCAGTATTCACATGGCGTGATCCAGCAGGCAGACAGCTACTGAGCACTGCATGCCAAAGACTCCCTCCAGGAGCATTATGGACTGCTTTCTCCAAAGCTGGTGGGCAAAGGGATGTTTCCCTCCATGACTCAGTCTTTTCCAGAACTGAAACCTGTAGCTATTGGGGCAGCTTAATTGGACAACAAGACTTCTCCACTGGATCAAGAGCCAGAGAGCTTGCTAACAGCTCTTGACGTCAGAGAACACAAACAAAGCAAAAAATTTCGAAGGTGTTGGAGTGAATCCTGGATGTGCCAATCAGGGGAATGGCCGTGTCTTGTAACAAACAGCTTCCTGAGAGAAAAAAAGTGGCACCGTTCAGTAGACATGTGTGTGTCATTATCTGATCACCTTCAGCGTATGTACGCAATGGATATGATATCTCCTGCTCTGTATCTTGTGTTTCCAAGATCTTTTGCTCAGTGTCAGGACTTAGTATTCTCATTCAAATTATTTTACCCCATATTCCGAAGCTTACAGCAGGCTCTGCTCAATCTTATAAAGGTGTGCTTAAAGACAGAGCCCTGTCCCAGCCTTTTTCTTATTCCTTTTTTTCTCTTCTGTTGCATTAAGGGCAAAAACCAAATAGCAGTTTCCTGCTTAATAATATTTAACAATTTAGCATTGTTGTATCACAGAACCATTAAAAATTACAGTTTACAGTCCCTTAGCTGGCATAGGACAGTGCAATTCAGTTTGTTAGGCCAGGAATTGATAGTCTCACAGCTTCTCAATTATTTAAAACATAGTATTAATATTAAAATTGCTGTGCCTGTCCATAACTTTGGGATCAGAAACATTCTCCAAAGAACCATGCTCCCACCTACAATAAGTGCTTTTCACTTCAGATTAATATGTCTTCATTTGCCCTGTCACTGTGCAGACAGAGTGCACCTCAAGTCAACTGAGGTCAAGTAGGAGTCCAACTAGGCAAATTATTTTTACATTTAGAGAACGTGAGGTCAGTGCACTTGGGGGGATTTGAGCACCAAAAAAGGTGTAGATGTAGGATTTTATGGATTTCCATAAGTACTATCACAGTGCAATCCAGGGTAGTTAGGTAGTTAGGCATCTGGCAACTGTGCTTGAATGCTCTTGAAAATGCTTTTGAAAATGCAGCTGCATTTGCACCAGCAATGTTCAGACATTGTTGTTTTCTCCCTCTCCTGCTGCCTCAGGTCTGCTGAGATGTCACCCTAGCAGTAAGATGCAAAACTATAAAGTGCAGTAGCCTGCAGGACAGCTGGGAGCCATTCTGCTGACTAAGGCTCTGGGAGGCCAGTGACCCAGGATGGGTGGCACCATGTCCACTGAGTGCTGGGGACCTGTTTGCTTGGCAGTCTGTGCTGCATGACAGATAAAAGAAGTCAAAGTGAAAACCAGAGAGCATTAGACAAACCATCTCCTGGTTGGCTTGAGGTGGCCACAAGCAAATACATGGGAAAGAGCGAGAAGAAACCCATCTATGCCAGTATTCTCCCACCTTCTGACAGTTTTCTCACCCCCTTTAATTTTTTCTACATAATTATGTACAAACTTTGAATTCAGAGTGCTAGCTCATTCTCCTGTTGGATGCAATATGAACTTCCTGAATTCACAGTGTTCCTTGCCATGGATTTTCCACATGTACTGCACATTGCGTGGAGACCTGCTGACTGCGATGCCTGTTACCTTTATTTGACAAACATGGACTCTTGAACTGAAAATCACAGCATACAGTTTCTCTAATCACCTTCCTTCTGTGTCTCTTGTGATCTTTAGACTTAAATGTGTTTTCTCTTAAGTGCTCTTTTTTTCACACTGACAGCCAAACTAATTGTTGTGGGGGTTTTTTTGTGTGTTTGTTTTGCTTTGTTTTGTTTTGTTTTCCCTGTTTTCCTTTTCTCCTCTGTATGGAGTCTTTAAATCATCCTTGTCACCTTCTTGAACATTCTCTGAATGTCATTTACTATTGTAGAGGCAAATATCCATCTTTCCATTGTGAGAACTCCCCATTTATTTCCATCCTTTACCTCCTGGGTTTTAGGCAGTTACATCTCTATTTGTGCATTTATTCTGGTGAATTACCTTAAAAAACATAGTGTAGTAGTTTCAGAATTAATTTCTTTTGTGAAGGATCATGTGATGCTGCATTTTGGATTTGTGTGAAAAGTGGTGTTGCAAACTCAACAATACTTCTGTTATTGGAGAGCAGTAGTAGCACAGAGCCAAGGTCTTTTCTGCATCTGGTGCTGCCCTGCCAGCCAGGAGCTGGGGATGCACAAAGAGAAGGGAGGGGATACATCAAGGACAGCTGACCTAGACTGGATGATGGGATGTCTCATACACTATCATGGGAGAGGTGCTCAAAGTGAAGCGTTTGCTTTCCCAAGAAACCACTATGTGTGATGAGCCGTGCTTTCCTGGAATTTCTGCCTGTTGATGGGAAGTATTGAATGAATATCTTATTTTGCTTTGTGTGGCTTTTGCTTTACCTAGTAACCTGTCTTTATCTCAACCCATGAGTTCTTGCACTTTTACTTTTCTGATTCTCTCCCTCATCCCACCTGGGGTGAGTGAGGGAGCGGCTGGGTAGCAGCTGCCTGCTGGGTTAAACCAACTCAGTATAAGGCACGAAAGGTTTGAGGTGATGACAGTTTTAATTGGAGTGTAGAGATGTTATAGCTGTTTAGCTGCTAATTGGCAGGTTCCTGTGCTTGTCGTGGGGCTTGCTTGCCTTATTGTATGCTAGAGTTCAGTGCTTGTTAGTGACTGCTTTTGCTTCTGCCATTTGCTGTACTCCCTTAGCATCTTGTTTTGCTGTGCCTGGGAACATTTGGTAATAGTATGTGCCTGGGCTGTCAAATGGATGGGGTATCACTGCTTTTCCTGTGCTGCTGTATTGGACAGGCTAGGATTCCAGTATGAGCTTGAGTCAGAAGAACTGTGGCCCATGGATGAGTCCACATGGAAACATGTACATCTTAGTGTGTCTGTGGCTATGGTACAGCAGGTGCACCTTGTAGTGTTCATGTCTGTGGATATGGTCATACCAGAATACTTTGAACCATTTGTCTGAGTGGATAAGAACATTATACAGTAGTTATCTGAAGGTTCTATGGCCAACGGGTGAAGCCATGCCGGAGTAGGTACACTTTGAAAGGATTGTAGTCAATGGACACTTCCAAACTGGAAGGGACAAGGAGAGAAGTTCTTTGCAATGTTAAATGCTTTGGCTTGATTTGAACAGTCAAGGAGTGGAGATTGTAATAGTAATAATAAGTCTAAATTGTTGTAACTCTTTATTTAAGTTACACGTTATAAGGACATTCTGTAGCAGGAACCACTTGAATCAATGGAAGATGAACCTCACAAGGAGCAGTGCAAGTACAGCAGTGACTCAACATGAATTGTCTTTGGCACCCAGTAACTCCATGCAACACACTGCTTCTCCTGTCCTGAGCATCCACCGAAACAGACAGAAGCTAAGTCGTGGACTAAAAGAACTCAGTGGACATTTTATGGATGTGATATATCTGTGTATCAACTGAAAGGTTGTAACTAATGAGAATGTATTGGAAAGTGTAGGACATGAGCATGACGTGAGTGATATGGAATAAGGGGTGGATATTGTCATAGTTTTGTCTGAAATTGAGTCTTTTTTTTTTTTTTTTGTAAAGACTGATTTTATGTTTTTTTCTTGTTTTTTTGTTTTCAAAAATAGTGGGGATAAATCAACAATATTTTAGTTGTTGCAAAGCAGTACTTACACAGAGCCAAGGACTTTTCAGCTTCTCACATCACCCTGCCAGTGAGGAGCTGGAGGTACACAAGAAGCTGAGAGGGAACACCCCAATTGATCAAAGGGATATTCCATACCATGTAGTGTCATGCTCATCAATAAAATACTGAGTAAATAAAGAGGGAGGGTGGGATGTTGGGAATAATGGAGTTGTATTCCCAAGAAACCATTACATGTAATGAGCCCTGCTTTCCTGGAAGTGGCTGAACATCTGCCTGCCAATGGGAAGTAGTGAATGAATTCCTTATTTTGCTTTGCTTGTGCACATTGCTTTTGCTTTACCTAGTAAACTGTCTTTATGTCAACCTATGAGGTCTTGCACTTTTACCTTTTTGATTTTTCTCCCTTATTCCGCATAGGGAGAGTTGTGTTACTTAGCTCTCTGCTGGGGTTGAATCACAACATGGTGAAAATCTCTGTCAAAAGCCTTTTGGAAAGCCCACTAAACAATATTGTTTGTGTGAGCTGGTTTTCCATTTTATCCCCTGGAAGACTGTCAAGACAAACTAAGGCAGAATTTCTCCTGCCAGAAACTGTACACAGAAGCTAAATCCAGAAGAGCATTTTGTGTTTGCATACAGCAGGAATGAGAAGTCATGAGCACTTCAACATTTTAATCTAGTACTGTGAACTGTAATGTGATTTCATACAGGCCTGTGTCATACTAACAGGCAATGCCTGAATAACATCTGATTTGGCACTGTAAATCCAGTAGTGTTCAGGATTCAAACTATCATAATTATAGACTCACTAGTAGTGCACTGCCCAGTTCATCTAGTTGGCATTCAGTGAGCTAATGACTTTTTTATTGCTATAGCAGCATTCAATCAGAATTCACACAGCTAAACCCATGAGGGAATTTTGCCCATGCCTAACTAGAATTCACACAGCTAGTTTATAGAATAGGCAGCTTATTATTAAGAAATTACAGGTTCTTTTAGATTGCCAAGAAGTAATTCACTGCCTACGAAGTGTCTCAGGTGGCAAGGTTAACCAAAAAGAGTGCAAAGTAGTTGCAAAAAACTAAGAGTGACACAGCCAGGCCACAAGTACACTAAATTATAAATTAAGCTCTTTAGAGATTACTAAATTTCCCAGAGGAATTCTCAGCATAGCCAAGTGTATGAGCATTACACAACAGCATTCCCTACTTGAGAGAAAAGAGTTTCAGCCCATCAACTGATCCCAAGAAGCAACCCACATCTAACTTATCTACAATAGTATCTTCCCTAATATTCCCTCTCCCTTAAGCCATTTTATTTCTTATTCTGCCAGAGGACCTCATTACATACCTCTGTTCTGCTTAATGTAAAATTCTCTCTCCTCACTAATAAAATTATGGGCTAAAAAATCAGAATGCATGATCAGTGAGAGGGTGGTTGCACGTTGAAGGTGAGTAACTTTTGGGGTGGAGGCATGTTTTGGTGTTACAGTGAGCACATAATGAGCAAAGTTTACCTAAAGAATGCTACCTTGTCAAGAAATAATGGACTCTTGGCCGAGGGGTAGCAGGTAGCAGTTTTGTGGTGCCTTGGCATCACCAAATCCCCATCCTGGTACTGTTTTTCTTAGAGTCAGTGCATCATGTACACCTGATGTTTCCAACATCTAAGGTTGCCTAGGGACTTACTATGGATCACAGAAACTGGCTTCAGGGTCTCCAATTTGCTCCACCATCTATGGCATTTTATGGCATACAAACTGTATTCAGCTTCATACTCCTGTGAACAGTTTGTATCTTGGTTTCCAGTGAACAATGCTATACCTTAAGCAGCTATTCCACAAGCTAGAACAGAGCAGGTGAGACACAACTGTCTTAGAATACTTTACAGAAGACAGACAACTTAGGAAGGTGAGAATCATGCACCAGCAGCGGTATGTTCTTAAACCCACCTCAGTGTTGAGCTCCTAGAATCACAGAACACTCAATCTGAGGTAAGTCAGATCAGAGGAGGTTGCTCAGGGCTGCATCCATATGGGTTTTAAACAATTTAAAGGATGCAAATCCCACACCTCTTCAGTTCTCTCTTCCAGTGATTCACGACATTTATGGTGAAAACTGCGTGTCTTTATTATACCTAGCTGAAGTTTCCTGTGTACCAACTTATATCTGTTTTCTTTCCTACTTCTTTTAGGTTTGGGCAGGATCTGGCTGCACTTTTTCTACCATCCTACAAAGTAGCTACAGACATCAGTCAGATCTCCTGTCAGCCTTTCTTTACTAACACTGCACAAAACCAGTAACTTCTAGCCAAAAGGATGTTTATGCATCAGTTTGATAGCAGTAGCATGTTTTAATTCTTGTCCTTACAAATGAATGGGACAGGACCAGGATGCGAGTGTAATTCACATGGTGTTAGAATAAATATTTAAGATTTTTTTTTAATTAGATTTCTGCAGATTGAGTGATTAGATCTAAAAAAGTCACCCTGCGAGTTACAAATGATTTGTTAAGAACTGATTGAATGGTGTAGTATGTACAGCATGCACTGAGGCAGAGAGTATGTGCAAGGAAGTTCATTCCTAACAGAGTACTGACCTCTGAGGGGGCCATTAAAAGCTAATTAAAAATTAAAGCAAAGTAGGTTTCACCAGGTTGGGCTGAAGTGATTTCAGTACTGTGATACTGCAGAGTGTCTGACATGAACTTTGCGAAGATTTTAACTGTTAACTTACACCCTCCACAGCCTATGCATTGCTTTTGATGTCTAGCAGTAGGGATAGGAATCAGGAGCACAGCCTTCCCTTCCCAGTGAGAGACTTCGCCCCTGGGACTGAGCATTCTGACTGATCTAATGGAACGTTAGATGCCACGCCATGTATCTCCTCTGCCATTTTACTACTTTTCATATATAAGTGAACCCAGCAGGGAGCAAAGTAGGAAAGTGAGCTGAGTTTTTCCAGTCTGCTGGTTATATACAGTCTTCTCTCGGTCACTCCGAAGAATACACTGATGTACATTACCCAAACTTTGACTATGGTATAAAGAAGATAAAAGCCAATAAGCTGTAATCAGTTTAGAGAATAGCAAAAATCTTCCAGAACTGCTACCTTCAAAAAATTCCTGCTGTCCTGATAGGAAACACAATTGGCAGCTCACATGAGACTCTGATCATGGGAAGTCTGACATTGACTGTCTGCTTAGGTTATGATCCAAATCCAAATTCCAAAGCATTCAGAGCCAAGAATTTGAATACAGGCTGTGTGTCCTCCCATCTATAATCCTGGAATTTATTAGATGTATGTGTTTATTGAGGATCAGCTGAGATACTGAGTGTTACAAACTGAACAAAACTCTAACTTTTCTCTACCATAGCCCAGGCTCCAGTGTTTAGTTCAGAGAATGCAGTCAGCCCAAATATATATTCATTTTGGGTGCAGGAAATGTGGGTAACTCTTCCTTTGTGGGATATATCATGCAGTAGCCTTTACACCTGTAGATGCTAATATCCTGTTTTTCCATAGATTCACAGATTAATTCTATTCATAACAGGAGTTCTTGTGCAGGCAAGCACACAAAACTAAGTGCAAACAAATCTCCTTTAAGAATAAATTAATTTTCTGCATGTGTGGGGAAGAAACAATTCTGCCTTAAGAAAATAGAGTAGAATCCAACCCATTAAATATTTTCAATGTTGAATGTAGTATTTCCTCCCCACCACTCGCACTTCCGAATATTTTGTTCATATTTATTTCAGAAACAATAGTACAACTCTGGCAGAAGGCTTCATCCTGGTTTTTAGAGGTAGCAGTGCTAAAAATATCAAGCAAACCTGGGCAATGTGAAAAATGAATAATAAAACAAAAGCAGCTGAGGCCATTCTTGACAATATTACTGGCTAAATATGACCCATCTTGAATAATGCATCCATTTCACGAGTATTTAGGTCCCTCACAGTGGTTTTGTAACATGATAAGATGTATCCAAAGATGTCTTTTGAAAAAGAGCATAACATTGGATCTTATGCAAAGTCTCCATGAATGAATGTTCATTAAAAAAGCAGATGGTTGGAAGTAATTTCACATTAAAGGTTATTACTTTCTGTTTTTCTTATTTTCAGTGTGACACATTACCTGCTTCTATTTGTGAAATTTAATCTTTCATATCATAGAATCATGGAATGACTTGTGTGGGAAAAGACCTTAAAACCCTTCCAGTTCCAACCTCACCCTTCTGTGGGCTGCTTACCCCCACCAGATTGGCCAGCCCAGAATCCCTCTGGATGGCATCTTTTTTTTGTTGTTGTTGTATCACCTGCACCACTCAGCTTAGTGCTGTCTTCAAACTAGCTGAGAGCGCATTCAATCCCACTATCTAGGTCATTGATAAAGCTGTTGAAGAGTGTCACTCCCATATACACTAATCACATATATCTGTTGGTATACGTGCATGTGCATATTGAAAACTACATTCTGGATTTTCAAACTATTAGATTTTCAAAAGGCATAAGTAAAATAATTCATTAACCTTTCTGTAACTGTGGAAAACTGACAGAATCTATTTTTTAAATAAACCTGGGAGTATCAAGAAGTTTTTTCAGTACACACAAAGGCTGCTGATGTTAAAGTGGAGCTACTGATTGCAGCTGGTTCAGAGCACAGCCCAGCACTAGCCAGCACCTGCAGCTGTTGCCAAAAGATACAAAGCAAGAATTCCCAGCAAGCTGCAAGGAACACCACCCTGCCTCCTGTTCCAAGAGGGAAGCCAGCAGCATGAGCTGATGTAGAAATAGTGGTTGGTTGACAGAGACTTGGGACTGTGTGATGGTTGTGTTCTTCATCACCATTTCTAATTTGTTCACACATTTGTAAAATGTGTAATAACCTACTGCCTTTTGACACTGCTGCAGCATTACTCAGCTGGGGCAGTGCCAATCATGGAATAGCCTAGGGTGACCAAGGATGGGATTTTCTTTAGGGCAGGCTCCTCTTGGCCACTTCATCTCCCACCTCTCAGCCACTTATTCACCAGACTCAGTGCATGTGTGATTCTGTCATGCAGCACACTTCCTGAGGAGTCAGAAGCTGACACATCATGAAGGTTCAAGGGGACAGTAAAAATGCTGAAGTGACCAAGATCGTTTTGCTGGTCTTAATCTCCTCTTTATGCTACTTTGGCTCTGTTTCCCTCTCAGTATGTGAATTCAGATTTGCATGTACAGTCTTAATTATTTTAAATTCGCAGTCATGTCAAGGCAATAACAGTAATTTGGCCCAATGAATCAAGCAGAGAATAAAAACATGCTATTCCCAAAGATATTAATGGTCTTTGTTTTCACTTAGAGCAGGACTGTCTTTGGAGCAACAAC